CGGGTGGGGGTGAGGCGGGGCGGGGCTGGGCGGCGCTGACTCGCTTCCACTGCCTTGCAGAACCAGCGGCTGCTGCTGGAGAACCAGCGGCTGCGGGCCGAGACGCGCGGGCTGGCGCTGGAGAACCAGGAGCTGCGCTGCCGCCTGCAGCTGGACGAAGGGGAGGCCAAGGTGAGCCCCGCGCCCCTAGCTGCCGCCTGCCACGTGTCTCCCGGCCCCGCAGGCTGCTGGCCCGCCCCCGCCCTCTCTGCAGTCTGGCTGTCTCACCTGCCCGGTGAGGGGTGCTGGCTGCTGGCTTGGAAGAAAAGTGTGGGGCTGGTTCAAAGCCTCTGACCTCATGGTGGCTCTTCCCCCGAAAGCTGTCCTGGGCACCGATTGCTCTTCCCCATCCCTGCAAAGTAACACACAAGCTGTTTGCAGGAACTTGGACCCTGGGGAGTAGGCCAGCAGTCAGGGCTTCGGAAAGGAAGTGGACCAGACAGGTGTTGTGTCCAAGTGTTACTGAACACTGGCTCTGCACCTGTTTCCTAAGCTTGGCCACTCAACCCCTGCAGTGCTCCTCTCCTCCCTAGCACTAGTGGGCTGGATTCAGGCAGCAGAAGGGCCTGGTGGGGAACTCCTTTTCCTGCAGTAAGGGTTGCAGCCCCTGCCCCCCCTCACAAGGCAGCATGTGTCTGATCGGGCTGGGTTTCTCTTCCTGTGCAGGTGGTGGTGGAGGAATCGCAGGTGGATGAAACCAGGCTGGTGACCGGGTCCGCTGAGTCTGCAGCACTCAGACTACGTGCTCCTCTGCAGCAGGTGCAGGCCCAGCAGTCACCATTCCTGATGACCTCCACGTGGATTCTGATGGCATTGACTCTTCAGACTCTGAGGTGAGCAGCTGTACCCCATCTCCAAGCCTGTGACTGGGGTAGTATTACAGCTTGTTTTCAGTCCCAGAGATTACTTGAACAGGAGCACTTGATTTTTACAGCTCCATGTTTCTAGTGGTTGAGCTGGCTCTTAACTAGTCAGCACAGCTGTTTTTATTTCAAAGCTTTACACAAAGGCAGTGCTAGCCCTTGTGAAGCTGGAGCAATGGCTGAAATGCAGGCTGCATCCAGTCACTGTGTAGAAGTGCTTGCTCAGTTTCAGAGAGGTTATAGGGACACTGCCCACTGCACTCTACTTAAGAACTTGTATGTCTTATGCAGTGCATTAAACCTGCTGTATTATCTATGTGACTTTTTTGCTACAAAATTATGTAGCCAGTTCTGTAAAATCCTACCTTGCAGAATCAAAGCAGCTACCCAGTGTTTTGACTTCAGATAAATTCAAGGACTTCTGGAAGTTCAAAGCAAAAGAACAAACAGCTTCAGAATTGATATTTGACCTTCTTAGTTCTGGCAGATACTCTTCAGTGTAGTTGCCTGAGTTTTTTGCTTCTGCAGGTGGCCTAATTAGAAAGTAGGATTTTCCACTTTAATGTGACCTAGCACAGGAGTGGGCAAAATGCAGCCCAGGGGCTGGATGCAGCCTGCCCAGCCACTTTGTCCAGCTTGTGGGGCCCCTCTTTAAAAAAAAAAAAAAAAAAAAAAAAAAAAAAAAAAA